ATGCAATGCCAAAAGTGAAAACCAGCGAAGAAATGGCTAGAGTTGCCAAGTTCCCCTTTAAAGGGTTAAAATTACATTTTTAATTTTAACAACAGTAGATATTTAGTAGATGACTGTAAATTTCATCCATTCATCCCAAATCTTTAAAATTGTGGGAAATAATATCACTTTATAATTGAGATGAATCAGAAATGATCAAGAAATCAATAACAAATCCCACAAAAACAATTATAGTGAAATGTTTTCATTATTCTCCTTTGTTCCTCTTCCTTTTCCTCTTCTTCCTCAGACGCGTGTGATATTGTTGAACTGGTGTGCCTGGTTCCTGCGCATGCGCCGTCCTGGCGAGGCAAAGGTCCGTCTGGCGTGCCACAACGCCGCCAAGCGTCGGCGTGGCAGCCTGTCCAGCCTGGAGCTCAGCGTCAGTCAGGGGTCTCTGCGACATCCGCAGGTAACCAACGGCAACCTCCTGTACGTCGGCTTCCGGGGCATGGAGGGGCTGCACTACGCCTCCACTACCGAACCCGAGCTCCTCTGCTCACGGCTGGTGGGAGGCAGCGTGGGCGGGGAGGAGGACGTGCTGAGAGCGGGTGTTGGAGCCGGAGGAAGAGGAGGAGGAGCAGTCGGGGGCTCGACCCTGGAGGCAGAGCTGAACCAGATCCTGGAGGAGGTGAGATACATCGCCAGGCGTTTTCGGGGCCAAGACGAGGAGGAGACGGTCTGCAACGAGTGGAAGTTTGCTGCAGCGGTGATCGACCGGTTGTGTCTGGTTGCATTCTCGCTCTTCACCATCCTGTGCACCATCGGTATCCTCATGTCGGCTCCCAACTTTGTGGAGGCCATTTCTAAAGATTTCTTCAGCTGAGGAGGAGGAGAGCCTCGGCTGACAGCTGATGCCAGCTGTCTTTGTTTTTATTAATGTCAACAAATCAAATGTATAGGCCCAAACCAACAATTTCTCAGTACTTCCTGTCTGAGGCTCTCACCTCCAAGCCCATTGGTTCCTACTGAGATATAAAGTTCAATTATCATATAGTTTAAGGCTCACTTACAAAGGATTTCAACCATGACTCATTTTAACAATGAAAATAAATGTCCCAATGCTCAGTATTCTCCATATTTATTCCAGAAATATTGAGGAAAATAGCTCAATCGTTGCTTGTCTGGCTGTTTCCTCCTGTTGGAAAAGCAAATGTTAAATGAATACTTATGCTCATTCACTTTCTTGATGAGAAGATTAAGGCAAGAAGCAATTAGCTTAGTTTAGCAACCATTACTATCAATAGAGCCATTTGTGGCCATAGAAATGTGTATCATAAATCCCACTGAAGAAACCAGGGCGATGCTAACTTCAGAGTTGGACTACAAAAAGACATCATGCTGCTGAATCTTATAGAGGCATCAGACTCTTTAAAAAAAAAAAAGTGGTGTGTTGACACCATTAATCTCTTTAAAAGGTCCAATGTGTAATGTTTAGGAGGATCTGTTGTCAGAAATGGCATATAATATTCATAGGTATGTTTTCATTATAGTCTATTTGCCAGCCAATAGAGTCCCATTGTAAACCTGGAAATATTGAATACCCCAAAGTTTGTGTAAGTATGTGTCCCCAGCGTTTAGAAACTGACAGATGCTAACTTGCATATGTTGGGCAATTAGCATAATTAGAATTAATAATCAGCTATATGGACAATATTTGTGCATGCTTGGCTGATTTGGACAATATGGGAGTGATTTGGGAGGTTATTGAGGATGCTGAATCTATTTCTGACATTCAAACATCAAAGTATAAAGATTAAGTAGGAAATGACCATATTTTAACTCCTGGTGGGCTAATTTTAATACATTTTCGAGTTGCTTTTGAGGTTGTTTATTTGAATAATACATAACCGTAGCAGCAAAGACACAGGTCAGTGACAACAAAACACCAGCAGCAGAGCTGAAGAAATATTACGTTGAACAGTCAGTGACAAAGAGTTTTCTTTATTCTCAAATGCATTCAGCGTCTATTGTCCTAATCAGCCAACCAGTTAATGGAATATTGTCCATATAGGTGATCTATTAATGCTATTAATGCTAATTTCCCGACATATGTAAGTTATCATCTGGTAGTTTCTAAATGCAAACTGTACATTTCTAAGATAAAACTTTGTGGGACTCAACATTTCTGGGTTCACGTTGCTGGCAAGTCGACTATTAGTTTTTAATCAGCTGAAAATAAGAATCGTGTTTTCGTTACTTTAGGATGTTTTTATCTACAGAGGGAGCGGGTCCTCTTCTGGGTCTGAGTCCACCATGTTTCTACAGTAGCCCAGAAGGGACTGAGGCTGCTCAATTAATCAAAATTTGATCATGATTACATTTTTTGGGCCAAACGATCTCAAAACTAATAAAATTGGGGGGAAACGATTTTTTTTT